TAGACAAAGATTTAATGGTTAAGCTGAAAATCTATTGGTCTCACACACTTTCTTCATCTAATAAGCTGGCCCTAAATGCAAACTATAGTTTTTTGAGCAGTAAATCATCTATGATCTAGTAAATCAACTACTTTTGCTTATTCCTCCTTTGTTGAGGCAATCCAAATCCTTTTGTTATGTTCAAATGTTTACTAAAATTTACTTACTACAACTCTATTTGCGTGAATAAATAATAGTTATTCTTTATTGGCCATATTTTCTGATGTTTTTAGATAAATAAATTTTGTCTGCAAGTTTCTGAAAGCATAGATTAATCAAAAATCAAGTCAAAAGCCAAGACAAGATTTGGGTAAGTTCTAATTTTGTTTGCTCAGAGATAACGAATGTTTTTGCAGTAATTTTTGCTTAAACCTACTTACTTCATAAATGAGCTCAGTATTCAAATTTTTTTACAACTGGCGACAATTGCATAATTGCATGTTAGACTCAGATAGCATTTTGATTGTTCAGTTTGACGCACATTAAAAAAAGCTAACTGCATAAAGTGGTATATGATGTGGTAAATTTATAAATGCCTAATTTTGTAGAGTGAAATGGATGAAAACATGGAGGCTGTGGCGACAGAAATAAGTTCCACTGCAATGTCTTCCAATGAAAAACAAGTAGTGTTGCTGCAATCTGGTTCATCGATTGCCTCTGGATCTACTCGTCAAGAAACTACTCTCTTGGCCTCTAAGAAAAAACGGCGGACTCGCCAATCTACCGAGTTGTTTGGTTTAGGACCTATTATTTGCAAAGTTGATTCATCTATCACTGGTATTCAGCTGTCCACCTGCTTGAAAGCTTTGAGGTGCATGATGTACTACTGCCCAGATCTATTGGCAACAGATTCAGTTCACAACAACAAAGTTGGTGCTGCAGCAAGTTTCATAATTCTTACCATAAATTATTACCATAAAGCCAATATTCCAACGGTGACAGAAAAAAGAGTATGTGATAAAATAGTGGAACTACTTGATGATAACAACAAACTCCGCTCAATTGATAAAAGTCGCCGTGAAACTCCGACTACATTTCGGAAACTTGAGGCAATGCAGTCTTTGTTGGCATTAACGTTCGAACTGTGGCTGAAAAACATAAAAACGTTAGTGACAAATGCAGATGACCTGACATATTTGCAATCGTGAAACTCCGACTACGTTTTGGAAACTTGAGGCAATGCTGTTTTTGTTGGCATTAACATTCCAACTGTGGCTGACAAACATGGAAACGTTAGTGACAAATGCAGGTGACCTGACATATTTGCAATCAATGAAAGGGGACAGAACTGCTAGCTTTGGCACATCGACAAAACACTAGCAAAAAATATTCAAACGTCAATGATGCAGCATTAAATCATCTGAAGCGTTCACGTATTGATATTGAAGCAACAACCACAACAGTATCTTCAGAACTTTTGGTTGATGAAGAGAGCAATACTAACTTCACTAGAGAGTCAGAGTCTTTTTCTTCTTCAAAAGATAATGGCAATATTAAAGCAGAAGATGTGAATCAAGTAGTTCAGCGAAAGAAACCAAATAAAACAGTTGCTTTCATACCTCCAGATGTGCTAAGCTAAACAATTCTGGTGTCACTTGCTACCAAACTGAAGATGACTCCAATGCAACATGCTGCATTCACACAAGTACTTATTGTCGAGTCTGGTGGAAATCTGTCCATGGTCATTGCTTCATATACTACTGCACATACTTCTTGACGTAGGGTAATAGGCAAAATACCTACAAAAATCCGCAATGTCTGGAAACCAACAAAGCTATGTACTCTGCACTGGAATGGAAAGTTGACACCTACTCTTGAAACCACAGAGTCACTTAAGAACGCATGAACGTGGTTGTCAGCGACGCTTCACAGCTAAAGCTCTTGGGAATGCCAAGTTATTACAAACCTTCAGACAAAGCATGTGCAGAAATCATTGCCGAGTTGACTATGAAGCTGATGACTTAGTGGCATTGTGATGATCGAATCTTCAATATGACATTTGACACCACCAGTTCTAACATGGGTCATCTAACAGCAACATGCATTGCCATTCAAGATAAATTGCAGCGTGCATTTCTCTGGGCAGGTTGTCGCCATCACATTGGAGAGTTTCTTTTATCACATGTGTTTACTGATATGAAGATAGAAGCGTCGAAGTAACCAGATGTTAGATTATTCACACGGCTAAGAAGTAACTAGGATTTGATACCACATGACTACTCACACATACTCCCGTTTTGTCCAGCTGGTTATAGCCTGCAAGCACAAGAGCTGCTGGCAATAATGAAGAAAGATGCTATTGCTGCGGAAAAGATTGAGTTCCTGCAAGATGACTGTAAGGAATTCACAGAGATAACGCTGCTGTACCTGTCATCAGAGAAGCACGTAATAACTTTCAAACAACCTGGTGCACAACACAAAGCACGTTGGATGACGAATCTACACCCTCAAGATTGCACTTTGTGAGACGCAGATTGGAGAACTTCCCCCAGGCATCATTACTAGTTGTCACCAAGTGAAAAAAGTGCGTGCCTTTGCCACATTCGTAACTCATGTGTATATGCAATAGTGGCTTACATGTAAGAAAACTGTAGATTTACCATTGAATGATCTTCAGTTGTACAAACGTCTACTAGCTTATGAGACTGTTGATAAGCTCATTTCATACTCTGCAACTTGAGCACTAAATTGTCATCTCTGATATTTGACTGCCGAGATGGTCCCACTTGTTCTAATCAGTATCCGTGTACCGTTGAATGAGAGACAAGCAATTGCTGATGCATTGCTACAATTCAGATCACAATCATTGTGTGACCTGCATGCTCCAGTCCATCAATTTGGTAATGGATGGGGTAAACCTACTTTCCCGTCATTCATAAACAGCTCAGCACGGCTGTGTGATCAGATGGACACTTTTAAACGTTCTTCAGGTGGTTGAAAAAGATCGCAAGGATGCTTTAAACCTTTGGCGCAAACGTAGTGTCAAGAACACGGACTAATTGAGCCGCACAGTTTCATTCATTTCTGCTGTACAATGTACATGTTATTGAAACAAAATTATGTTGCTAAAGTGCAATCTAAAGTGAACACTCAACAGTCGACAACACTCAATTTTTGTGTTAAAAATTTATTTTGACTTCAAAAGCAGAAAAAAACATATTGTGTTCTTTTTTACAGCAAAGAAAATGCTTGTTTATTATTTTGTACATAGTTATACAATTTATATATCTATAATATGTAATTATGTATGACAAATCTTGAATAAGGATTAACTTTTCTCAGTCTTGGACCTGCCGGCCTCGTGATCCTTCTAATTTTCCTGCAGTCTATCTAGTCTAATTTTAACAGTGTCGCAATGATCGAGCTTAGTCTCAGGTTGTTTTTTGGTGCATATTAGAACGCTTGCTTACGCTCCGGTTTTTAATATATGATATTGAAAATGGCGAAGGAATAATAATAACGACAAGTCAAACTACTATATTTTTGTTGATTGTGTATTAATCTATCTGTATTAATAATTTATCTATGATGCCACGGAAATGACAAAAAAAAAAAAAACACCCGATCCACAAAATCGAGTTTAATGTCGACTGTTTGGACTCATGGGACCTCTAAATCAACTCTGATTTTGAAAATATTTCACTCAAGTTATCAGTATATATAGCATAATAATTTGAAAACACAGACAGCTCATAAGTATGAAGTTGATTTTTTGCTCTGCTGTGGTGATGCAACCTAGTGGTAGTATGGTTTCCGATCTGTGTAGTAGACCTCAAAAAGGCTAATTTCATCAATATCTTTAAACTATTAGAGTATTACAGCGCTATGTTTTTCAGGGACGGTGTTAATAATTTTAGTGTGCGTTAGCAAGACTAAACGGAGCATAAAAATTCTTAAACTTGTAAATTGTTATCCAGACTACACAAAATGTTTTTTCTGGATTTTCTTACGCCGGTCTCTAGGCTAATGTTTTTCGTTTTTTTTGCTGAATATTGAGCATCCTACGTAATTTTCTGGATATAAAGCATTCACTTCAGCTAGTTAATTATGAATTAAGCCTTGCTCTATTTTATAGTTTTTTTTCCTTCTAAAAAGCCAATCCAAATGTTATTTCTTTTCTGTGAAAGAACTTGAAGTGGCTGCTGAACTCAATAACTTGAAGTGGCTGCTGAATTCAATAACTTGAAGTGGCAATTGAACTCAATAACTTGAAGTGGCTGTTAAACTCAATAACTTAAAGTGGCTGTTGAAATCAAAAACTTGAAGTGGCTGTCGAACTCAACCAATGTTTATTGCTAGTAATTATCGTAATTGTTGATATTTTTATAAAAACAAATTTCTGAGTTTTTCTATTTTATGCCTTCTTGGATTATTTTTCACAAGTGTTTTATGGAAATAATATTTAATCTATTAAAAACGTAGTATTCTCTAAGGTCTTCTTGTAGATTAAGCTTCTCTGGTAAATTAAGCTCCTCAAAAGATTTCTATTAAATTCACGTATTTTTAACTAAGATTTACAGAATACTTAAAAAGTTTTCTTGTTTTTCAACTCTCTTCTTTTGTTTCTATTAACTCTTAACTTAGTTCCTAATTACAATAGTGAAAGCCTGCACATAGTTATTGTTAGCACATAGTTATTGCAATTTCCCTTTTTGCAAAATAAATTTTGCAAAAGGGGATATATAAGTCTATTTTGGGATATAATATTTTCTAGAATGTAAGAAACAAATAACTTTAAAGTTATTTTACGCGCTTTTTACTAACATTTTTTCAACTTTTTAAAAAGTTGAACATTACATTTTTAATTTAACGTTTGAGTTTTGACGCAATTGACTTCTAAAATAACCTGTATCGGGATACAGGTACAAAAATAAAAATCAAGTTATTTTTTCTTTAAAAATGATTATTAAAAAAAAATTTAGAGGAAGAAACAAAAAGGCGACAAAGAAAAACCTGGAAACTAATTTAATAATAATTTCCTTGTTTTGTCATCAACTGTTGATACTAATGGTACAAATTTTGATTATTTTCGTTTTCGTACTGACTACCCGTGTATACATCATTTTCATCGTAATAATTGTGGTCCTGATGCATGGGTGGATAATAGGATGAACTACCTTGATAAATGCCCTGTATAAATTGAGGATTGAAACCTTGCTGTGCCATTATCCATTGAAAATATGCTGCTTGTTGTTCCATAAGCATTTGATGCTGTTGGTGTGAAACGGGAATTGCAGTTTGATAAGCTGCCAAATTCCCTGGTTTAGAAAAGTGAAATTTGTCGTTTATAGAGGTAACGGACTGGTTTATTACCGCTGAATCTATATAGTCATCTTCTTTAGATGCACTAGCAAACAAAGCTTCAAGCGATACTCGCTTCAAGTTACTCAAATCAGAAACTTTTTCTGCAATAGATGTAGTAACGCTGGTTTTGGGATAAACTTTCTTCTCTACTTGCTGAACATCATTTTTATAATCGAATCGTTCTTTTGGCATTTTTTTAAAATTGTCTCTAGATATATTTTTACTATCATTTATACTGTTATTTTGTTTATACTCACCTCGAACTTTTTCATGGTCTTTTGATTGGTTGTCACATTTATAATTAATTTGCCGAGAATTTTCGTCTTCGTATTTCTGTAATGTACCTTTCCTATAATCCTTTTGTTGGATATGATCCCGCTCTTCAGTGGCGAATTTTCTATCACTCGTGTCTTTTTTATAACTGCTAGGATGAATTTTTTTGTTTGAAAAATCTCTTTTTGGTTCGCCACGCTCTTTTTTTTTATTTTCTACGTCTTTGCTAACTTCTGTTTCAGCGGTTTTTTGTTGTACATCATGTATGTTTTTACTCCAAGATTTTATTTCGCCATCCTTTTGTGATAACTTCCTGCTTCCTGAGTTTTTTATGTTTTCAGTTGTCTGCGTGTACTTTTTATTCTCTTTTAATGAGCTTGTTCGTAAATCTTGTTTATGACTACTGAATTGAAAGTCTTTTTTTTTGTCTTTTTCAGATAAGTTATCATTTGTATATGGCAAATTTTCTTCTTTATGATCTAAGTTTTTTCTATTGCCACTCGATTGTATATATTTTCTGTCACCTTGAATCGTCTTGTCACTCGGTTGTTTGTACTTATTATCAAGTTGTTGAGAATATTTCCTATTATTTTGATCATTGTAAGCTGATTGTTTTTTTTTTCTATCATCTTGAGCATTATCACGTGACTGTTTGTAATTTTTATCGTTTCGAGTATTGTCACTTGATTGGGTGTACTTTTTACCATCTTGAGAAATATCACTCACATATTTGTACTTTCTATTATCTCGAGTATTATCACTTGATTGGATTTGTTTTAGACCATCTTGAGGATAGTTACTCAATTGTGTGTACTTTCTATCAGCTAGAGTATTATCACGTGATTGGGTAAACTTTTTATCATCCTGTGTATTATAACGTGAGTGGGAAAACTTTTTATCCCCTTGAGTATTGTCACTCGGTTGTGTATACTTTCTTTCATCTCGATTACTGCCACTTGACTGATTTCTTATATCATCTCGAGCATTTTCACTCAATTGTGTGTATTTTCTATCATTTCGAGTAAAATCAGTGGATTGTGTGTACTTTTTATGATCTCGAGTTTTTTCATTCTGCTGTGTGTACGTTATACTATCTCTGGTGCTTTGTTGATCTCTATAACTTTTTTTATTGCTACATGATTGCATATATATGTTCTCGTCCTTTCCGTGAGAATAATTGGTTGATTGACAACCTGTTTCTGCATCTTTTGGTATAACATTTTGGAAAAAATTATTGATAAGAAAACCTTTCTGTGTATCACCACCCTCTTGTTTTTGTGTATCACTTAAGTATTTTGTTTTTTCCTCGTTCTTTGTTGTCCATTTATCACTTTTTGCATCATAGCACACAAAAGACTCTTTTTTATGATTTTCATGATATTTTTCATTATTTCTTTTGTACTTGTTTTGTTTTTCGTCTTCTAAAGAGATTTCAATTTTTTTTTCAGCTTTAACTGGATTATGTTTGGAATAGTTATTTGGTTGAAGTTCATCTTTCCAACCATTGATTTCTTTCTTGGTTCGATAGCCGCTTTCTGTTTGCAATTTTTTATCTAAAAAAAACCATTTATATTTTACCAATAAACCTTTTAATTGTAACAATCTGTTTAATATCTAAGAACAACATTTGTCTTACCGGATTGAACATTATTGTTGATTTGGGTTGGAGAAACACTACTTAGTTTATTATCAAGTGGCTTATAATCTAAATCACGTGTGTACTTTTTCTCTACGGTTTTCTTACCCTTCAGAACTACCGATTTTTCAGCTGATAACTGTTTCTCTAAATATTTAATACACGCATATATATATATATATATATATATAAAATATATATATATATATTTTATAATTATATTTAATACACGCATATATATATATATATATATATATATATATATATATATATATATATATAAAATATATATATATATATTTTATAATTATATTTAATACACGCATATATATATATATATATATATATATATATATAATATATATATATATATATATATATATATATATATATATATATATATATATATATATATATATATATATATATATATATATATATATATATATATTCATATTAAACTAGAAAAATAATGCATTACAATTCTTAAATTAGGACAACACGGCTATAATTAAAAAAGAAATACAAACATAATTAGGATAAAAAAAGTTTACGACCTGGAGGTAACCCACTGTTTTAGGGTGGTAGCCCTCCTATCAAAGAACTTGAAATTAAATTAGTGTAATTGGTTAGAGTTGATTTGGCTTGTAAACACACTATAGATGCCGCCAAAAAATTCGGGCAGAAATATATTACTGCAAGAAACTCAAAAAAAAAAATAGACAAAAAAGATGTTGTGATAAAGATTCAAGATTATTTATCTTGAAATAAGATAAATGAATCGGAAAGATAAATATATTAAAAGTTATCTTTAGATATATTTATCTTTCTGATAACTCAAAAAATATAAATAACACAGGTCTGCAAAAAAAAATATTTTTAAAAAGTTGTTTAAAATTTGATATCTGTTTTTTATGTATTTCTCAGCGCTGATTTCGAAAATGCAATCCATTTTTTTCTATCACGTCAGGTTTTCTCACAAAAAAGAGATTATTTTTGGGTAAAATAACATAATTTGACCAATTTTCACAATTTTCAAACGTTATAGAATTTTATATTATGTATAAATCATCTTCTAAACTATGTTTTAAGAACACTTACATTTCTCTTTCAGCTTATAAGTCCTTATAATAACGTTTTTGATTTTTGTCGAAGCTTCCTTTATTGCTTTTCCGGTTGTGGACTTATTCAGGATCATCTCTCTTCAACATCCAGCAGTAGTCCGCTATCATGTTGACATTCCATCTTCCCTGATATCTTCTTTCCATTTCCTTGATGTCTTGGTGAAATCTTTCGCCTTGCTTTTCACTTACATCATCAAGCAGGGAAGTAATCAAGATGTGAATGGAGAAAATGAACTTTAATGCTAATGTTACAGCCCAGCTTCTTAAAGTTGTCAAGTATGTCTGTGACAATGGTCTTATAGTTTAGATCTTTGTTGTTTCCTAGGAAACCGCTAACAACTAATTTAAAGGATGTCCGTGCTGCCTTTTCTTTTGTTTCCATTTTGTCCACAAAATTAGGATCTCATAAGTTTTCTAATGTCTGGTCTGACAAAGATAGGAATCTTTGTCATCATGAATTGTCGTCATGAATCCTTCCTTTAGCTTTGCCTCGGATAAACCAGAAAACTGTTCACAAAGATATTTGAAAGTCTCCTCTTCTTTTGGCAATGCCTTAACAAATTATTTTATCAGCCCTAACTTAATGTGAAGTGGTGGAAGTAACAACTTTTTGGGATCCACAAGGCTTTTTCTCTTTACATTTTTAACCCCTACTTCTAAGATTTTTCTCAAGAGTCAAACTTTTTTTTAATGCTTTTTTGTAGTGATGCTTTCTGTCTCGACTGTCCCATTCACAGATAAACCAAGGAAACTTTGTATAGCCACTTTGTTGACCAAGCAGCATTGAAATAACTTTTAAATCCGCGCACAGTGTCCATTTGTGGTCTGAGGTTCAAGGTTTTTGTAACATTCTTTTAAGTGCACCGAGTGTCCAACTGGCATAGATGCATACTTATTGCCATTATGCAAAAGTACTGCTTTAAGGCTACTTTTTGATGAATCAATAAAAAGTCTCCACTCATCAGGAGCATATTCTATTTTAAAACATCACTGCAAAATACCAGGTCACTTTCTTGAGAGAAGAAAGATACAAATTCCTTTTCCCTTGATCGATACCAAGAAAAGGATGTACCCAGAACCAACATATTTTTATCTTTTAATCTAGATCCTAAAACTTCTGCCGAGTCTTTAGGAACACCTAGGTCTCTAACTAAATCGTTCAGTTCAGATTGTGAGTAACAGTGCAGTAACTGTACTTGATGGAATTTTTTCACTATTTTTCTCAAAATCAGCGTTAAAAATGCTATAAAAATCACTTACTAAATTTGAAATAATTTTTATGTCGCAGACCTGTGTAATTGGAGTGAAGTAGTAAAAAGAAAATCACGATAATATTGACAAATATGTGACTGAGGAAGTTATGGTAAAAGAAATTTTTGACTCAATAAATACAGACAAGCATAAAATAAAAAAAGTAATCAGACTCATAACAAGAGACCCATCTAAAATACCACCAATTATCATAAAGTTAGACAATCAATCAGACAAAATAATTGTTATAAAACTTGCATACATTAATAGAAAGAAGATAAACGACATCTCATTTTATTTCAGGTATGACAGAATCCAAAAGAGATCTCAATAAACAGCTACTTAGTGAAGTTAAATTGTTAAATGCTAGCCTAAATCAAAAGGATGAATACTACTACACTATAAGAAATTTCAAAATAGTTACACTCATAAAAAAATCAAAACAATAGCAATCATTAATTTATTTGTATCAACCTGCAGTATTGTCTGTCTCTTCAACATACAATCCTGCATCTACTAATGTTACATCTACTAAAGGTTCAAATAATGTTTAATCACAAGTATTGTTATGCAAAACGACACCTTAATATCATCGAAATTGTATTTATACAAATGCAACTTCACTAAACAATAAATTTGATTTGCTTTTGTTAGAATTAGCAGAGTATAATCCTGGCCAATTCATTGTAACTGAGACTTGGTTTAATTTATTAGGTACCATAAATGTACCCAGATAAAATGTTTTTCATAACAATTAATCTAAATCTAACTCAACGTCATGGTGGAGTTGTAACTATTTATGTTAAAAATAAATATATTGCTTATACTTCTTATGACCTAGCATCTGAAGAAATGACAATGACATGGAATGACAGTTGAACAAGTCTGAAGGAATGACAGTTGAACAAGTCTGAAGGAATGACAGTTGAACAAGTCTGAAGGAATGACAGTTGAACAAGTCTGAAGGAATGACAGTTGAACAAGTCTGAAGGAATGACAGTTGAACAAGTCTGAAGGAATGACAGTTGAACAAGTCTGGTGTGTCATTAAAACAAAATGAGAATATCTTAATTGGTAGCATACATCGTTCACCAGATGCTACAAAACTAACAAATAAAAAATCAATAACAAATAGTGTTATAGAATGGTAATTCCTCCGTTGAGTAATTTAAACAATGCACATCAAATATTGCATTAAAATTACATCTTTAAAAAAACCAACCACATCAAAAACTACCTATGGAAAATCAAAGTTAAACTACAAATTCATTCTATAATAAAAAATAGTCACATCTTTTCCGTAATAAAAAGGTTGATGAACGTTACAAAATCTTTAAAACAATGGACAACAAAAAAGAAAGAAGACTGAAACACATGACAACTTTATGGAATAAATTAATATCATATAACTCATTAACAACAATACAAATTAAATTAGTTAAAAACATGATAAGATTAAAACGTATTGAATACAAAAAAAAATCAGTGAATCATCAGAAAAAGATCCTAAATTATTTTATAGCTATGTAATATAACAACACTGTAACAAATAGAGAGTCTACAGCAAATATTTTAAACAACAGTTTCAATTCAGTTTTTGTACATACCATACATAACATACCATATCAAATATGCTGCAGAAGACAAAATTTATTCTAGAAATTGATATATAAACAATATAATAACTTGCCATACTATTGAAAATAAATTTAAAAAACTAGATGAATACAAAGCTGTAGATGGGAAAAGATGTATACAAAGCTGTAGATGGGAAAAACCCATATGTCTTGAATAAATGTCATAGCACTATTGAACCATTAAATTTCATATATATTTAAAATCACTGACTGAGAAATAATTACCTGAACTCAGCGAATACAATTTTAATTTTTAAAAACGGTAATATGAACAATGTATCTAATTACAAGCCAATCTTATTGACCTCTAGCCTATGTAAAGTGTTGAAATCAATTATTTGAGATGAAAACATGGATTATCTAATAAAAACAGTAAATAAAAATTATAAATAAAAATCAGCATGGGCTCAGAAAATATAAAAGCTGCACAACAAACCTATTGAAAACTCTTGATATCATAACAGATGCAATAGAAAACGGCCCCACAATTGATATGTTAAATCTAGACTTTCAAAACGCTTTCGATAAAGTACCACACTCTCGCATAATCAATAAACTTCATACATATGGTATTGTGAGAAATTATCACAATACCAAGATGGATAACTTTTCAACTAACAGAAAAGAGAGCGGCACTAGGCGACAATATCTTAGATTGGCTACCAATTATCAAGTGGTATACCACAGGGATCAGTTTTAAGACCACTAATGTTCTTGATTTTTATTAATGATTTACCAGATCAAATCAAAAATCCTATCAAACTTTATGTTGATGATAGTAAAATAATTAAAAAATCCTAATGATTCAATAAGCCTTCAAAACGATAATAAAAAAATATTGTCATGGTTATTTATTTGGCTTAGAAAATTTAATTATAAAGAATGCAAAGTTATGCATATTGGAAAAAAAAATCCTAAATACTACATTTATAAAGACTGATGTTGATTACAATTACAATTATACATTATGTAACACAGATGCTGAACATGACAGAAGCTGAACATGACTTGGGTATTATGGTTCAATTGGATCTAAAATGGCACTCACAAGTTAGTTCAGTAAATAGCAATTCAAATAGAATGTTGGGTATTATAAAATATTAATGTTAGGTATTATTAAATGTTAGGTATTATTAAATATTTAGATGTAAACATAGTAAAAAACTTTATACAATGTTTGTACAACATTTTGAGTTTTTTGAATAAACTAAACAATTATAAACTGCGCTTTTAATCCTCTGAAATCGTAGGAATAAACTAAGCAACTATAAACTGCGCTTTTAATCCTCTGAAATCGTAGGAATAAACTAAACAACTATAAACTGTGCTTTTAATCCTCTGAAATTGTAGGAATAAACTAAACAACTATAAACTGCGCTTTTAATCCTCTGAAATCGTAGGAATAAACTAAATAACTATAAACTGTGCTTTTAATCCACTGAAATTGTATGAATAAACTAAACAACTATAAACTGCATTTTTCTTTGTTTAAGTATTTTTATAAAGCGTTTCTATTTAGGAAAAAGAAAAGATGAAAAAGAAATAAGAGCGAATAAAAAAGTTTTGTCCAAAATACTTTATATAATTACTCAACTATTAAATGAGTTCGCGAATGAATTGCTAACTCAACAAATTCAAAATTGAATTGTTAAATTAAATTTTAAATGAAAATTATGTAATTTCATAAAAAATTGTTTTACAACTTTCAACATAACCAAAAAACTTGCAATAAAAATTATTAATTAAGCATCACAACAACATCATCACAACCAACAATAAATTAAAGTAATAATAATTAAGTAATTAAATAAAACAATATTTTACTTATTTTAAACTCAGTTCAATTGTAAAATAACTATTAGCTGACATTTGTTTTAGTCTACAACTGTATTTAACTGTAAAATAATTCTTTTTTTAATCTAATTACTAAGTTGTTCCAAAAGGTTCTAATGGTCTTGTCACAGAGCACCGTGAAAGAACATTTAACTAGAAAAAAATCCAATAGAAATTATTGCATATATTGAAGAAAATAAACTTTTACCAGGTTTTGTTTGTAAAGAAGTAAAACCACTTTTCAGAAGATTTTTTGCCTGCTCCATTTCCATCTGCTTTGCTCCATTTTGCTCCATTTCCATCTGCTTTGCTCCATTTTGTAGGTTTAATTGTTTCTTGAGAATATCACAACTTTTTCCATTTTTCAATTTTTGGATTTCATTAATTTTAGTTGGATCGAATTCAAGAAAAGGAGGAGGACCAGAAATAACTCCATTTATTTTTCTAAATAAAAAGAAAATAAAGACAATTTATTAAAAAAAATATATATATTTTCAAAATATAACTAAGTACATAACTTTAAAAATATAAGTAAAATAAAAAGTAAATAAAAACAATTTGAATACATGATAAAATCTCATATATGAATAAACTAATAAAAACTAATAATTTACAAAAATGTTTTCTATGTGTTTAAATAATATGCTAAAAAGTTAAGAATTAAAAAAGAAAAAAAAAACTACAAATTAAACATTTGAGAATGTTTACAAATAATTTCTATTGTTAAAAAGTTAATTATGAAATTAATAAAACTAGAATTCGCCTAAAATATTTAGGATGGTTGATGGTTGAAATTTTTAGAATGGTTGATGGTTGGTTAAAATTTTTAGGATTTGTCAAATTTTTTTTTTGTTTAATATAACTTTGTGTTATAATTGTTTTTATGTTTTGATATTATTTATAGAGAATATATACATATGATATATGAGATATGAGAGATATTATAAAATATCATATTTTGATAGAATTTAAAGAGAATATATATGATTTAGAAGAATTTATTCTTCTAAATCTTTTAAAATTCTAAAAAAAATTCTTCTAAATAAAGGAGAATCATGTTTTGATAGGATTTAGAAAGGATATGTATGCTTTAGAAGAATTTATTATTAAGGAGAATCTTGTTTTGATAGAATTTAGAAAGAATATGCATGCTTTAGAAGAATTTATTATTAAGGGGAATCTTGTTTTGATAGAATTTAGAAAAAATATGCATGTTTTAGAAGAATTTATTATGAAGGAGAATCTTGTTTTGATTTAGAGAAAAAGAGAGTTTAGAGAGTATTTATTTAATATTAAATTGATAGATTAAAAGGTTTTAATAGTTGTAAAAGTAATAACAAGTAAGACAGGTTTAGTTAAAATAGTTTTACTTTTTTTTAATTGTTTTAAATGCTTTTGCAGATATTCGCAAATAAAACATAATTTCTAATATTTATATTATTAAAATAATAAACTTTGTTGAAGATTAAAAACAAACTCTAAAAAAATAAATAATTTAATAAAACAAAATGTTTCACATAAAACAATAAAGCATACTTTAATCTAAAAGTGTTAATTTTACAGGCAACCATTGTAAAATCAACTCAGATATAGTAAGCCATTGGGGTTGATATTTAATCAGGACCGGGTTTGATAAAATATATCCGGAGCCGGGTTTGTGACTGGGGCTGCATAAACATATACATCCTCGGTGTAGTTAAGGCAATTTTAAAATATTATAGCAACTGTATAATATTTTGGTGACTACGATATATTTCCGTTAAATAATCAGGTCTGTGAATTATGAAAATATAAAAAAAATTAAAAGATAAATTTTGTGGTATCATAAAATGTAATGTTTGTAGCAAAAAAACCCAGAACAGATATTCTTTTTTTTTTTTTTTTAAATCTTCTTAAAATCACAATTGCTTGGCCAAATTTGAATAAGATTTTAAATAAATAAATTTTTTAAGTGAAATGAACATCATAATACGATCATTTAATAATACGATCTGTACTTTTTGTGAAAGTTGATAGAAATGTTGTATTTTGACTATATATAGTTAATATACATCAGAACCAATTAAAAGTAAGATTTATAGTTGGTTAAGACACTTTTTCAAAAGATTTTAACTAAATTCATGTCAACGTTAATGTGATCTAAAGACTACAAAATGGTGTTCTTTAGATTCACAGGGGTAGCAAAAAGGTTTTGAAAATTATGTAAAAAAAGAAAAGTTTCTCTAAATATTAAAAAAATTATAACATCTAAAGCTCTTATTTGGACATAACACACAGATAAAATCATGCTAATTCCAAATAAAAGAATTTGAATAATTTGTAAATTATCTTAACTACACTGAGTCTAAATAAATAGCAAACATATATGTTTATATCCATAATATATATGCATAAAGCGCATCTTGGAAGAATTATTCCTTTCGTTACAATTAAAGTATATTGTGATGCATTTATTCTATTATTATTTATGCCTTTATTGGAAGCATTTATTCCTACTCTTCAATTTTAAGTCAAACTTCATTCTACTCCATATTTTTCGCTCTTGAGCAGTTGCTTTATTAATCATTTATTTCATCTTTTTTACAAGAACAAATGTTCTTTAATTATTTCAAGAAGCCAAAAAGATATCCATACTCTTCATGCCAGTTGAACAGATTAGCCCATTGCTAAACATCCAAATCACTCTGGCTTTCAATCTGGCTTTCAATGCTAAACTTAATTCTCAATTAAACACTTCTACAGAACAAGATCTTGTAAAAACTACCAATCATATCCTTGCCCTCTACAATTCATTAAACTTAAATTTATATTTTCCAACAACTTTTTCAAAATTTCAAATAAAGATTGTCCAGTGGATATTTCAACAGCTTGATAAGTTAAAAAATGTTCTTTAATCTCTATCTCATTGCTTAAAATATCAACAAATCTTAATGTAAAGGAGAGTTGTTCAGTATGGCTGACATCAGGGGTGTAGTCAAGAATTATACTAAAATATTTTGCATCTCTAGCTTGTCTTAAAATATTGTCTTTAATTCCGGATGCCAATAAAGAAATTAACTCGTTTTGAATTGTTTTTCCACAATAAGTTACATGAGATTCTTTAGAAGAAATTTGTCATAAATGCTTGTTTGAAGTTGCGTTGTATTTGCTCAACAGTTCCACTAAACCCATAGAATTTCCATTTTTAGAAGTAAATAATCTGTCTGAAGAACCACAAAAAAGTAAGTTATTTTTCGATAGGTACAAAATTATGTTGCACATGTGATCTAACATAAGGCGCCAATGATCTCTTTCTCTAATAATTAAAGATTGCAAATTTTTATCAATAGTTTTACTTTTTTAAGCCTATGACTAGCTTCAAACCAACTACCAAAATACTTTAAGTGTTCGAGTGGATTTTCATGAGATTTTATATATTCAGTAATGTGTTTCCAGTTATTAATTCCAACAGCGGCTAATGATGATTTTGTATTATCTGAATAATAAAGTTTACAACAAACACAAAACACTTTATCAGAACTTAATGTATATGGTAACCTGGTTTGCAAGTAAGATTGACCATTTTCTGTACATTAATGGTTTCGAAAAACAATGATTGTTATAATCTTGTAAAAATTCAATAACATTTGTTAGGTGAGATTCTACATCAGTTCCTACATAAATTATAGAGACTTAGATGTTGTTTCAAGTTGTCTACTTTCTTCAGGCGTTTTTTCCATTTTCTTGTTCAAAAAAGAATTACTACCAACTAATCACAAAGGGCTACCGATTTCTTCACTTTGCTTAGACTCTACTTGAAAATATTTCGTAAAAAACTTTGCAGACTTTGCATTTTCTTGTTTAAATTCAAATTGTCTTTTTCGATTTGCTGCACCCGATAGTTTATTTGCAGACATGATGGACTCTTAAATTAATCAATTTAATACAAAAATAAGTTGTGCATAAATTTTTGTTAAGCAATTGTTCTAAAATTAATTCTTTTTTCTAACGGCTTAACAAAAAATAAATTTTCAAACGCAGCACTTTAATGTTTTCATTAGGAAAAAATGTATTACTTAATAACTTTAACGACCCAGATTTGCATTTTTATAAATAGAAGTAATTTTAATTTGCAATATTTTAAATTAGGAACTTTTAATAATGAAATAAGATCATTAAATAATAACTTTGCGGTGATACACATAAATATAATTTGCCCCTATTTTTCTGTGCCCCGTGGACAAGGGTGCCCGATCTGCCTGTAGCTTGGGCCAGCCCTGAGTGCCACTACATCAACGGAGGGTTTGGTTAGGGCAGATAGTAAAAAAAATAATAAAAATTTTTTTCCAGTCTTTAAAATAATTTTTTTAAAAAAAAACCTAAAACTGACCTAGCAATGGTAAAATTAAAAACAACCATGCAAGAGTATGTGTGCTTTTAAACTTTGCCTGAAAGTAACAGGGTTGTTATTCGTCAATATAGGAATCAATACCAACATTATTGGTATTTTTTTTGTTGTTGCAGAAATTGAGTTTTGTTGTCTAACAAAAATTGTGTCATTTTAAGTCATTTTCCTGTAGGTAGGTCAAAACCTTTGTTGATGTATTAACTATTATTTTATTTATTATTCAAAACAATCACTTATTAATTATTTTAGAGAGAATTGAAAAGAGTTCTGATTTAAGTTGATCTTTTTAAACAGATAAAAAAAAGATTACAATAACATATAGCAGCTGCATAAGAAGGTGAAAACCATGAAGTAGAATGAGGCTTGACTGAAAACTGAGGAGAAGGAATAAAAGATTCCAATCCTGCCTAAAGCCAGGAGGTTACATGGGAGGGGCATTTATTAGCTGAGAGTGAAAAAACATCACCCCAAAGAACATCGCAAAGAAAATCCCAGTCAGCTTTAATGTAGTAACATATAATGTGATGATAGAGTGAGTTCGAAAAGGAAGTACGAGATAAAAGATTTTCAGAACCAACTAGAAGAAAAAGGAAAAACTAAACACAAGCTAGGATCAGAGACAAGACATCAAGGAGTGAAGGTAAATGATTAGGGTTGTCAGGAGAATGAGTTAGGAAAAAAAAGTTATCGAACTGAGTATAGATTGAGAAATACAGAAGTTATAGGCTTTCCTGCCAGCTGGGTCAGTGGTGTTAGAGCAAAGCCATTCAGTGTGATGAGCATTGAAATCAACAATAACGACAATATTGGCAGAGAGAAAAAAAGTCAATTTGATCAGAAATTACATCTAAAAGAGTGCAGTCTTGAGAAAATGATTAAGAACAAAGAGAAAGGCGATAGAAAGAAAAAAGAGCTAAGCAGAAGCACATAAAAGAATGGTCAAAGGATTCGAGCCTGATTTCACAACAAATAGGTAAATTAATGCGTAAGTATACTTCTAAGCCAAGCATGTGACAATTAAAGTCTTTGCGAATCAAAAGATAGACACAGAGGTCTG